AACATACAAACAATTTTATCAGTGTTTCACAGAACATGAGCTGCAGCCATATATAGATTACTAAACAGGGCTTCCTGACTCCTTGGGCCCCTGGGTAAGAGCTTCTGTATGATGTTGTGTTAATATTAATGGAAAGATATACTTTATTGATCCCACGAGGGAAATTGTTTTCTGGGTTTTTTTTTCAAAGTCTTAGAGTTCAGTTAACTAACTACAAAAAAAGGGCAAAAATATCCTACAGAGATGGAAAACAACCTCAAAAAACAAACAAACAACCCAGCCACCCACGCACCCACAAAAACATCTAATCACAAGTCCTCTGGAAAATGTGGAAAATTTGTCAATAGGTGGGGTTCATGTTTCTTCCTGGTTTTGAACTGGGTACCTTTCATGTGTACCAGCTGTGTACCAACTCCACATTTTGGACATACATTAAACTTTCAAGTATATTTAAGTTGCTGTGATTTTATCTAAGGAATCAAGAGTCTAGGGGTTAGTGCATTAATCTAACAACTGAGCGGTCCCCAGTTTGCGACTGGGAGGGATCATAACCCTAACCTCATTCAGCCGTGTTACAACCTAGTGTGCAATTAATGCTGGTCGCAGGCCTGAGAAATGGTAGGTTTCATCTGGTGTAAAAATCTCAGTCAAATGAAATATGTGGATCAATCTCCGGCAGGAAATAAAAGAGCAGCTGAATGTTGTGTAGGCAAAGTTTTATGTCGCTGGCACTAAAATTTATTTCATTTCTCAACAAGAATTTCTGTGTTTTTTAAAATATAGAAATACATTCCACTGAAGCAATTTTACAGTGATATTGTAATTAGGTGAACAAGAACCTTCAAGCTGTTGAACTCTTATCTCTGAGTAAAGTCAGTCAAAAACAATCACAAGCTGAGAAAACTCGAAGCACTGAATCATGCTTCTTCTGTAGTCTTTTTTTCAGTGTAGCAATGACTGATAAAATAGCCACAAAAATGACTACAACACGGCCTCTGTGTATAAAGTGTGGCCCGATTTTGCATTCATTGGATCCATATAAGACCAACAAGGCTGGCTGATGGATTATAACCAATTAAAAAATGACTAGCTAGTTCTTGCTAAAACTGTCTATAGAAGTAAATAGAATTATTCAAGATGTTTAAAAAAATCAGTATTCATTGTTTTAACATAAATGGGATCATTTTAATTAAAAGGAGCCTATAATTAAAACATAAAATGTGTAAAATGTAAGAAACTTTCCATGTGCACTTTTTACAGCATCTTAGTCTTACAGACTGTTATCATTTTGGTCCTTGTTTTATATGGCAAATTCACACTTCATCTGTTTCTCTGTGTTTCTTTTTTCACAGTGATTTTGAGGCATCACTTCTGTTATTTACCTTTGTTTCACTTGCACTCCTCACCCAGCCCCTTGTGATGTTCCCTACTTTGCTGATTTGTTCCTCCTTTGCCTTTGTTTTCCTTAGCTTTAGTTAGTTTACCTTTTATGCTGAAATTCGGCCCTTTTTCACTACATGTACAACAGTATATAAATAACAAGAGACAGTTATCAAGTACATTGAAACTAAACAGGTCAAGGACATTAACATCAACTCAAAGAAAACAATGCTCAACCCACACTTGTCTCTGTCAGTAAAAACGGATTTGAATTGATTAAAAGGAATTAGCTTATCTAATTTTTCAAGCTTCTGCAGATTGTTCCACTTGTGTAGAGCACAGTACATAAAAGCCAGTTTCCAGATTGCAGTATTAGCAGAATATTATCTTCAAGGACCAAATAGTTCTAGGACCTAGCCTAGTGTAAAATTGATCTACAGTTAAACAAAGAAATGTAAGATTCCCAGGAAGCTTGCCAAGAACTATTTAAATAAAACGCTTTTCTCTTCTCACTGTCACCAAATTAAAATATTATACTGCATCAATAGAGTTTAAAAATAGAAGCAGAAGAATGTGTCTAAATTAGTAACAGCTAAAATACTCACTGGACAGTTTTCTTTACTGGGATTCTTTCTATAAAATAAGACTTAGTTCATGACATTGTTTTTTGAACCATAGTCTTACATCAAGCCAGAAATGTGTGTGCACATATGTATTTAGTTGTCACTCTTTAAATTGGTGTGCAAATAGAAATATTCAGTTGGTCATCACTATATATATGTGTGTGTATATATATATATATATATATATATATGTACACATTTAAACTAACATGCATGTTATGGCGTGCCTGTCATCAGTGGCCCTAGAATAAAACCCTGTGGCACACCTTTGTTAACACCACCAGATATCATCCATAAGCCACACTTTGTTTTCAACAACTGAGAAAACCAGCTTGACTTTTCATCCACTCGAAAGAACCTGATGATTGACAACATTTAATATAAAATATATGTGCTTTGATATAATTAACACTGTTTAAATTTTGGCTTTCAGAGAATGGATACTCTGAAGCAGAGCCATTCAAAATAAACACTATAATTTCACATCACCAGTAAACTGATGACAGAAAATGACAGAGAGGGAGGAGGAGAAGCAACAAATGTTCCCAGCCAGACCGGAGATGAGTCACACCGACACTCACACACCGACAGCTTTCAACTATATCAACATCACATATTGTACATGGTCGCCCTAAATGAATTTAGTATCCCAAGTTTTCATGAAAATGGAGATGTTCAATACTGTTTTATCATTGTGGCGTGGGTGTGGTCTCTGGCCAGCTGCAGAGGAGGGGTGACGCAGTTAGCTCCCGGGGCGGCGCAGGGGCGGGGTGAACAGGTGTGCTGGGATCTGACAGTGATTGTGTCTCTTTATATGTTGGCAGTGACAGTCGGAGGGAGAGCGGACGTGACAGCAGAGAGAGAGCGGGAGTGTCTGTGTCCCAGTCAAGAAACCACAGTATTAAATAAAAGTTCTGCTGTCAACATATTCGCCCCAGCGTATGTTTCTTGGGTCCAACGTTACAATCATTTTAGGTAATTCCGATCATGTTGGTTTAAAAGGTGAGAGAATAAAATTAAAGTTTGAAATTAAAGTTTTGGTGAGATTTATTCTGTGAGCTCCGGCTCTTAAATTGAAGAACAAACTCAGATGTTTTAAACTGACCACTCAATCACTTACTACCCACAGTAAATTATTCACTACAAAGTGAACTAATCAGTGAACAGATGCAGACAGCTGTTGATACATCCATGTGTCACTGCCACAGAATTATACCCCTAATTATCTCTGCCTCTAAAACAAAGGAAAAACATTTGGACCACATTTGTGACTACTGACACTTTAGTGTTACTACGCTCTGTAATTGAAAAAAATCTTACTACAGCATTTAAAATACACTGCAGTGCATCTGGTGAAGTCTGAAGTAAGAAATACAAGTTGGTTCAGCGAGCGTGAATCTGAGCCTCGAGCCCGGAGGATGTATGGGGTTGGACCGAAAATGACAGCCACAATCTCTCACCTGGTATTCAATCTCACTGGGCGTGGCCTGTTCTCCCCTGGCGACCGGCTCGGGTGTCACGGCGACCGTCGGAGAGGCAGGGTCTGTGTGTTGTTGTGAAGGGGGAGGGGCAGGGCTGGCGGGCTCCTCCTCTTTCTGAAAGTCAGCTTCTGAGAGGTCATCCATCATGTTTATCTCTGCCTCTCGGTAGGCCCGTCGCTCTGCCTGCGAGAGAGGAAGGATACTTTTATTCCATCAATGTTGTTTGATGCACAGGTGTTGATTTTACAGGATGACACAAGGGAAAAGTCCTTCCCACAAGAATTAAACACAAATGCCTTTAACGCTTTAATAAAAACACAAAAGAAGCATGTTCCCAAAATATCAATTATGAGATAATAAAAACACCGATTTTTTTCTGGCACAGCCTCTCCTCTGGTAGATGCGAGTACATGCTGGCAGGTTGATAAACATGATTGAAACAAGAGAAGGTGGTCAGATAATATGTTTTTTCTCCAACTGTCGCAAAAACAAGCAATTTATTTTAGTTTTGAAATGCTAATTTTCTAGATACTCTTCAGAAAAGTTGCCTAGTCACTTATATACATGGTTCCTAAACGTCACGAAAAGATGAATATATGAGTTGTTTTTTTTTATAACTGTGTGGAAAGTTTTAAACATGAACAAAGCAGCCTGATATCAGTCAGAGGGAACTGAACTGACTTGTCCCACTCTGACTCACACGGAGGAGAACAGTAGATTAAATCATATCTATACTTGTCTTGAAAATCTGAGGTTAATTAACATTTGGAAGCGATACAGACTGACTGAAGGATTTAGTGCCTTATATTCCAGTACACGGCAAACTGTGGAGCCTGCTTTTGACTTTTCTACTAAAAACGAATGCACAAACTTTTTTATAAAAATGGTGCGCTAAAAGTCATTAAAGTCTCTGATGCTCAAAATTTCCTGGCTAGGAGATCCGGTCTGGTGTTAAAAGTGTCACCTCATATTCAAACTAAATCTATGCCCAAAATCTTTTAATTTTCTACCTCCCTGAGGCTCTTTTTCAAAGGATGGTTTGGCAAAGCCATGAGGTAATGCCAGCATTATCTTACAAGAAGGAAAATGTATAAAATGTTGTATTTGAAGTAATTGGAAGTTTTAATCAAGTTAAAAACATCAGAAATTAACAAGTGGACACATTGACAACAAATTGTTTTTCAGCTCAAGTTAATATTTATTAGGCCCTGGAAAAATAACTGTAAAAATGTTCCAATTTTTGACCCTATCTGAGTGTAAGAACAAATTAAAATTCCTTTTACTAATTTCTGCTCCATGTCAAAATTTCCAACACCAGACTCACCATTTATGTCCGACTTTTTATCAGATTTTCCTTTGGGCAAACCTCCCACATGTACGCATATCCTCCTCCACCAGTACTGATATCATTAGATAATAGATTACTCATTCAAATGTTTCATCAAGTAAGACTTCACGTTTACAATAGGTTGTGTGGGTTTGCCATTTTGCTCTTGCTATTTTACTGAGAGTAGAAATATGAGAAGAATGAGAATAAAATGCAAACAAAAGGTCCCTGACTCAATGGTTTCTTTGGCAAGTGAACAAGCAAAAAATGTACCACTGAATACTGAAGGCAGCATTTAAACAAATGTTTTACTATTTCAACTTTCTGCCACAAATCAAGAAGTCAGCAGATCTCAAAGCCGGGCCAAATCAGCCAAGGGCTCAGCAAATGTCCCTCCACATACTGGTGTGGTAAATTTAACTTTTTAAGTTGCTTTAACCTGCCTACAATTTTCGCACAGCTGCAAGCCACATTGGAACCCACCTGGGTCTCACAAGAGGGCCATAAATTAGGCAGGTGGAAGCATCAGTCTTCTTTTTTACTCTATTTGTCCTGAGTGAAAAATGAATATGAATGATGTGAATAATGTCAGGTTATTTAAAATTTTAAACATAAAAGTAGGTAAATAATAAATGGCCTGTATTTGTATAGCGCTTTACTAGTCCCTAAGGACCCCAAAGCACTTTACACACCCAGTCATCCACCCATTCACACACTGGTGGAGGCAAGCTACAGTTGTAGCCACAGCTGCCCTGGGGCAGACTGACAGAAGCGAGGCTGCCATATCGCGCCATCAGCCCTTCTGGCCATCACCAGTAGGCGGTAGGTGAAGTGTCTTGCCCAAGGACACAATGACCGAGACTGTCCAAGCCGGGGCTCGAACCGGCAACCTTCCGATTACAAGGCGAACTTCCAACTCTTGAGCCACGATCACCCCTTGAGCCACACGTAAATAGATATAGACCTACGTAGCTTTGAGTTCTGATATAGTGAATAAAGAGATTCCAATCAAGATAACTATAGATAACTAATATGTGCTAAACTCAAAATATTATTTAATTATTGTACACATACAATTCAGACTAAAAGAATGACTGACTATTATTACCTGTATTTATTTTTTACTATTTCTTTTTTAAGTTTGGACAACAACAGCAGTGTTGCTCTGATTGTCATCATCCCAGGGTTTTGTAAATTTGGGATTTTCATTGACTATATTTGAGTTTGTATTTTATGGTTCTTGTATTTGTTTGTTGTCCACCTTTCCCTCTGTCTCTGTCTTCATGTTTAGCATTTGTCATTTGGTCATGTCATGTTTTACTGTGAAGGCTAGTCTTCTGCAGTGTCTTACTCTAACTTTTCTTCCTGCTTTTCTCTCGCCTTTGTCAATTACATCCAGCAGTGTCAGGATTCAGTTCCCTATCAGTCCTCAGTGTGTATATATAGTGCTTACTCTATTCTGTCTTCTGTCATGTTGTCTGCTTAGAGTATATGAAACTATCAGTTTACTTCCTCCTTGTGTCCTGGTGCCCTTTTCCTCGTATCCTGTGTTCATTCAGTTTGGTTAACTGTTGATTGGTGAGGGGTTTTTTTGTTCCTATTCAACTCTCCACACAGCTACACTGTGACATGAATAGCACAGGTTTAAGAATTTAAACAATAACACCCAAACTCAAAAGAAAAAAGTGACTCTAGAAACTTTTGAAGATAGTTTAAAAGATGACAGCTGACTGGCAACTTCATCAGCTATTATGTACGTTAAAATCTTCCCTGCATATTACTGTCATTGATCATGTCTGGCATGCCCGCGCCTGTCGAGGACACCGTCTCCTCCTCATGTGTGTTTCCCCATCTATGATAAACTTTGTTTTATTTCTGCTGGTCCGTAGCCAAACACTGTCCTTCGAGGAGGTCTCATAACTGATGCTTTTTGTGGTTCTTTCTAGCTAAAGTGGCGGCTGCTCTAGATCAGGGCCCTGCTGCCTCGAGCTGCAGGAACAATCCTTTAATTGTTCCTCTAAACAGGAAGTGAGTGGGGAAAGAGGGTGCGGTGGGGAGGGAGTTCAGTGGGTTCAACTTAGGAAGGAGAGAGCGAGGGAGGGAAAGAAGACAAAGAGCGAGAGAGTAAATAGGATTATATCATAAAACTGGAAAATACAGCACAGACAGAATGCGCAGCTCTTTGAATGGAAGTCAGGAAGACACAGAGCTCAGATTTTCAACTTAGACTTGACTTCATTGTACAGCAGTTGTGACCAATTACAACATCATACTATAAAAATACACGATTAAACGTACAAGTCTTGTATTCATACTTTCCCTAAAGTACAAAAGTACACCAAGCCCCCCAAATGTGAATGAGTTTCATTATTAGTTTAATAGAGAGTGGGTTAAGGAGTTTGAGCTGTACTTTTATATTTTAGAAGTCAATGATCAGCTTTGTGTATAAAATCCTTGGAAAAAAACAAACATTTGAATTCACTCAGACTGGCCTCTAGGCCCCGATCGATGCCTGTGGTTGCAAAAAGACTTGAGGTCTATGTCAAATCAGCCCTCAGCTCCCTTTATTTATGACCTCAATAAAAACTTTCCTGGTGACTTTATGGTCTCAGTCACTAGTTTCATGTGTTACTGAATAAAACCTGATTTTAATTTTGTAAATCACAGCACCCATTAGAGTTTAAAAGGAAGATAAATCAGGGTCTGGTTTACCCTTTGATTGACAATTCACTACTGTATGAGGGTGGAGCGTTGCTCGATTTCTAGTTCGATCCATCCCTTCCTTTTTCAAAGCATTTTGTGGTGGCTGACATACTCATCTCTGGACTTAACAGGAAAAGCTTGACGTCACAGTGGCTACAATCCTCTTTATAATTTATAAACACTCCACGCTTAGACTGGACTAGCTTTGCATCATCAAGTTCTTTATTCATCGTCTACTGGGCCTTGATGTTGCCCGTCATGTCATCCTCCAATGCAAGATGTTTTTTTCTCCCCTTAGAGATTAAAGGGTTAGATATTAGAAAATGGAGAACCCAGAGGACAAACATGTGAAATAAAAGCAAAGAGATGGAAAGAGATACAGTAAGGAGACACTTTAAAGTGGACATAGCTACATATTTTTATTCTTGTACTCCACTTAAGTAGCTTTGCATGATTCATAAAACAACGTAATCCAGTTTTATTTTTCCAACTGAACCTTAAGGAAGCCCATCAGTTCATTATTGTCTATTTCTGATGTCATATTTTTAGTCAAGAACTAAAAAAAAGAAGTACAAACTCAATGTTTATAGCAGTCTGATGCCTGAACTTTTGGATTACATGAACAGATACTGACATTGTTATTTAAAAGTTTGGTCACATTTGAGATGAGAGGCCACAATAGTAAAAGGATGTATATGAAATTTTCCTTTAGAGTATTGGACAGGAGCACACTGGCCTCCAAATTTTAGTGAAAAGTAAGAATAACTAAATATCAGAAGGGCACTTCGAAAGCGCAGGACTCCACCAAGGCCATTTTTAAATAAAGTAATCCAGGTCAGCACCAAAATAGTAAAGGTTCTCTTTTTATACCTCTCCAGTTTCATGGAAACTGGTAATTTTGCACATTTCATAACATTACAACCTAAAACTCATAATTGTACATAAGGATGGCATTTGAGTAAGCATAGTGCCCACCTGTGATTATCAGTAATAGCTACCTGCAGAAAATCAAACTTCGGTGCTGAAAGATGACATAGTAATGTTGAGCTTTGTTGAGTTGAGCTCTCAGCTTAAAAAAACAAAACAAAACAAAAAAACTAACCATGTGCTCACTCCTAGAGGTGAGGTCCTATTGACCTAAAATCTTTCTAAC